GGCGCAGGGCAGCAGCAGGCGGCAGCGCGTGGTCTCGGGCGGCGCGTGGTGGCTGTTCACGGTGTTTTCGCTCGATTCGACAACCTCCAACGACTCGAATAGCTTAGATCCTGGAAGCCCGGTAATTTTCTTTGACCCACCCTTGTTGGAAGTTAGATTTGGATTACCCACACCTAAACGAAATCGATTTGGAATACCCACACCTAAGCGAAGTTGTTTTGTAATAACGGGCATCAAATCGAAGCCGTTTGAGGTCATTTTGGGCGTTTCTCGCTCCTGTAAAAACGTGGACAGCAGTGTTTTGGGTGGTATCCGGTGATTAACTTCATCCGTTCGAAGCTCGATTTACGTTACCCACCTCTTTGCAAGCTAGATCTAATTTACCCACACCTACACGAAGTCGTTTTGCGGTAATGAGACCCGTTGAACCCTCTTAGAGTTGTTTTCGAAGGCTGAACAGTATATTTATGTTGCTATTTTTTCTTTCTGTTTTTGTGCGTAGGTGTGAGTTCGACGCAAACTTAAGGACGTGGTTGTGTAAGTAGCACCAGGGGACGAGTGCATGCGTTATTTAGCGTTAACGGAATGGTTTTGATGCTGTTTTTCTTGCTAAAATAATTTAATTGAGCATGTAGGGATTGTTAGTTTTGATTTGTCAACTTCTAGTGATTTTGTTGCCGTCTTTCTATTATTGAACACTTATGAGGAAACATGCTTCCTGTTCTTATTGTTGTAGGTGACTAGTAGATTCAGAATTGTTGTAGTTAGAAGTAACTGGCTCATGACGTTTTGCAAATATGTTGTAAATGAAATGCTCGCATTGTTAAATTGAGAATTTAGTTTATATTGTTTTAGTTGTGAGCTGTTGGGTGTATTGTAAACTGTGCAGTGAATTAGAATGTGGGAAATTTACCTGTAGGTGGTCATGGGAGGTTAGTGAAGTGGTGAAGGGTGAAGGGTGAAGGGACGGGTTGGTAGTCCGTTGACTATGGGTGTTCTGACCTAAAAATTCATATAAATCGCTTGGAGGTTCAAAGCCTTTAGTAGTGGCCTTGGGAATAAATGACAAGGTCGAACGTCAAATTTCTGTAAATGAGTATTGAGGCCTTGGGGATAAATGTCAAGGGTCAATGCGACTCGAGGAGTTAGGCTTGAGGGATTAAAGTAGAGTGGTGCTCGCGAAGTAGTGGTGCTAGACCTTGGGAATAAATGGCAAGGTCGAACATCAAGTACTGTAAAAGGAGGGGGCGGTATCTTGGGAATAAATGTCAAGAGCCGTCATGCCTCGAGAAGTTAAGCGGGGAGTAACACAGGGGGGGTGTAGAGGAAGGTTTAGTACTATGGGACAAGGGCTAGTGAATCATTGGTTGTGGCCTTGGTAGTTTCGACGCATGGTTGTTGTATGTAAATGTCAAGTTTTGTACGCTATCTCTCGCTGTCTATTTAATTGCCTTGCTATTTTTGTGTTAGTTAGGAAGTGCTACTTACAGAGTACCTTACGTACTCACCCCCCTTTTTATCCTTATTTGTTTTCAGGTGTGAACAGGGTCGACCGCGGTGATGACGTGGAGAGGGCTTGACCGAGGAGGGATCACTAGTCTAGTTAGTGAGGATAGAGGGAAGGGTCGTTTAGTACGAGTAGCGTTGGGATTTATGTTATTGCTAGGTGTGGACCGAGGAGAAATTTTGTATTCTTTATAACTACTTTATTTGTTATGGATGTTGCTAGTAAACGCGTCACTGTTGTCGTTCGAGTTTAGGTGTACGGTTGTTTTATTTATTTAAGAATTTTAGCCACTGAGGCGGATATGAGATGTCTTTGTTTTTAAATTGCCCATGGAGGGCGAAGTTTTGACAGTTTATAAAATTTATATTTCTGGTAGAACGTATGGGAGTCGAAGCTTTATTTCATTTAAATTATTTCCCAGGGAGTTGCTTATCTCGTGTTTAGAGTTAAGGCTAGCCAGGTGAATTATTTAGCGTTGCCTAGGATGGTATATAACATCTTGGGGCGTTACATGATGTTTTGCTTGATTATGTTGTGCTCTTTCATCCAGACAATGCCACCCCGTAGTAGTATGAGGTTGCGTGCAGACGTCGACTCAGCTCTTAGAGGCAAGAATGTGGTAGACCCACCGCCCCCTCCTGTTGGTGTTCAGGCAGGGGTAGTTCCTCCAATTCCTCCAGCATAGGCTCAGGGGCGGATGAATCCCCCAGTTCCCCCGGCAGTTCCCCAGGTAAACCCTCAGGTGGCGTTGCTTGCGGAGGCGTTGCAGGCCCTGATCAATAACACAGCTGGAGTTGGCGGTGTACAAGCCCAGCCACCCCGACACTTTCATACTCCCTAGAGCGAAGCCCAATTCATCAAGCATTTCAAGCATTACGGACTTCGTACCTTTGACGGAGGAAATGAGAGAGCGACAGCAGCAGAAGAATGGGTCAGAGAGTTGGAAGCCCTTTACGCGTACCTAGGTTGCGAGGACCAATTAAAGGTTAAGGGTGCAGTTTTTATGTTGAGGGGTGAGGCCCTGAATTGGTGAGACTCAATTGCAGCGACAGAAGATCATGCTAATGTACCAGTTTCGTGGGCAAGGTTCAAGGACCTGTTGTACGACTACTATTACTCGGAGACTGTGAAAGATATGAAGGAGGCAGAATTCCTCCATCTCGCCCAAGGAACCTTAACGGTAGCACAATATGAGAGGAAGTTTACGGAACTCTCCCGTTTTGCTCTGGAGTTAATTCACACTGAGGAAATGAAGATCAAAAGGTTTGTTAATGGCTTGCGCAAGGGGATCAGAGGACCAGTGGACCTTCAGCGACCCACCACCTACGCGGAAGCAGTTAGGGGCGCATTAATTATTGATAAAGATGTCTCTAACAAGGCCCAACCTTTACTAGAAGTAGGTTCGTCTTCAGGTTTGAAAAGGAAAGTCCCTCCGACTTATGCCGACCAGCCATTTAGAGCACCCCAGTACCAGGCTCAACAACAGGGCATGCTGCCGGTGTGCCCCTCTTATCAGAGAAGACATGCGGGGTAGTGTTGGACGGGAATTAAAGTCTGTTTCAGGTGCGGCAGAGAGGGGCATTTTGCAAGGGAGTGTCCCATATCGGCCGTGAATACCCAGAGGCTAGGCCAAAGGGCTCCCTTAACAGTTTTGACGAAGGGAGGTGACCAGAGGGCTCGTGTCTCCGCACTTACCCGTAAGGAAGCGACGGATGCCGAAGCCATTGTCACAGGTATTTCCTTCTCACTATGGGTTTTTGGGTATTGCGTGCAGGGTTTATGTCTTTACCTTTGTATTATCTTTCAAGAACGGTCTTAATCCATAATGTGCCTGCTTATGTATTGTTTGATTCGGGGTCGAGTCACACTTTTATTTCCACTGCATTTGTTCATTAGGCAACCCTCGAACTAGAGCCGTTAGGGTTTTTGCTGTCAGTTTCTACGCCATCAAGGTCAGTTATGATTGCTAGTCAAATGGTGAGAGAAGGCCTTTGACAATCAGACCCTAAAGGCAAGATTTATCCAACTTGACGTATGGGATTTTGACATCATATTGGGCATGGATTGGCTAGCTACCAACCAAACCAACATTAATTGCACGAGAAGGGAAGTCTCCTTCTAACTACCTTCAGGTCAGAGTTTTACGTTTAACGGAGTTACGGGTGGAATTCTAAGGGAGTCTCGACATTGAAGGCAAGACGTCTATTACAGAATGGTGCTTAGGGTTATTTGGCCAGTGTCGTCAACATTAGTAAGACTCCACCCAGTATCGACTCCGTCCGCGTGGTCAAAGAATTCCCAGACGTGTTCCCTAAAGACCTTCCGGGGCTACCCCCTGTCCGTGAACTAGACTTTTCCATCGATTTATTACCCGGGACAGCCCCCATTTCAAAGGCACCGTACCGCATGGCTCCAACAAAACTTAAGGAGCTTAAGGCACAGCTAGAAGAGCTTTTAAACAAGGGCTTCATTCGCCTGAGTGTGTCTCCCTAGGGTGCTCCAGTGCTTTTTGTGAAAAAGAAAGATAGATCTATGCGACTTTGTGTTGACTACCGAGAATTGAACAAGGTGACAACAAAGAATAAGTACCCCCTTCCTCGCATCGATGACCTCTTTGACTAACTAAAAGAGGTCCAGGTATAGGCATTTTGAGTTTACCGTAATGTATTTTGGACTCACTAATGCCCTTGCGACATTCATGGATCTCATGAATCGGGTTTTTATGGAATTTTTGGACCTGTTTGTGATTGTGTTTATCGACGACATTTTGATTTACTCCAAGACAGCAGAACAACACGAAAGACATCTGCGACAGGTCCTTATCACCTTGATGGGAAACAAACAGCCTGTATGCGAAGTTCTCAAAATGCGAGTTTTGGTTGGATAAGGTGGCCTTCCTTGGGCACATAGTAACTAGAGAGGTATTTCCGTGGACCCAGCCAAAGTAAAGGAGGTCAGTGGTTGGCCAAGGCCTCGCACAGTGACCGAAATCCACAGTTTTCTCGGACCAGCCAGCTATTATAGAAGGTTCGTTCAAGATTTCTCTCGATTGGTGGCGCCTTTGACTCAGTTGACCCGTAAGAATGTCACTTTCACTTGGAGTGATGGATGCGAGAAAAGTTTTCGAGAACTAAATGAGCGTTTGGTCACGGCCCCGGTGCTAACGGTACTGGATGGGACGGGAGGTTTAGTGGTGTACAGTGATGCTTCACGGAGAGGGTTGAGTTGCGTTCTGATGCAACATGGGAAAGTCATTGCCTATGCCTCGCGGCAGTTGAAGGTGCACGAGCTTAACTACCTCACCCATGATTTGGAACTTGCAGTGGTGGTGTTTGCCTTGAAGATATGGAGACACTACTTGTATGGAGAAAGGATTCAAATCTTCACTGACCACCAAAGTTTGAAATATTTCTTCACTCANGCCAAGGCCTCGCACAGTGACCGAAATCCGCAGTTTTCTCGGACTAGCCGGCTATTATAGAAGGTTCGTCCAAGATTTCTCCCGATTGGCGGCGCCTTTGACTCAGTTGACCTGTAAGAATGCCACTTTCGCTTGGATTAATGGATGCGAGAAAAGTTTTCAAGAACTAAAGGAGCGTTTGGTCACGGCCCCGGTGCTAACGGTACCGGATGGGACGGGAGGTTTAGTGGTGTACAGTGACGCTTCACGGAGAGGTTTGGGTTGCGTTCTGATGCAACATGGGAAAGTCATTGCCTATGCCTCGCGGCAGTTAAAGGTACACAAGCTTAATTATCCCACCCATGATTTGGAGCTTGCTGCGGTAGTGTTTGCCTTGAAGATATGGAGACACTACCTGTATGGAGAAAGGATTCAAATCTTCACTGACCACCAAAGTTTGAAATATTTCTTCACTCAGAAAGAACTTAACCTAAGGCAGAGGAGGTGGTTAGAGCTGGTAAAGGACTATGACTGTGAGATCAATTACCATCCGGGTAAGGCGAACGTGGTGGCCGATGCACTCAATAGAAGGGCAACGAGCGTAGCACCCCTGGCAGTGCCTAATAGACTAGTATTAGACGAGTTGGATCGTTCTGAGGTCGAGTTAGCGGTGGAAGATGTCTCGGTAGTGTTAGCTCGACTCTCGGTTGAACCCACCTTAAGACAGCGGGTCATCACTGCACAAAGGGAAGATCCCAGCCTAAGCAAGGGTTTCGGTATGGTGGGTCAGGGAGATTTCTCTCTTTCAGAAGATACGGCTCTGCTTTATCAGGGGAGACTGTGTGTGCCAAGAGACTTCCCTTTAAGAAAGGATTTACTAACCGAGGCTCATAGTACCCCGTTCTCGGTGCATCCTGGGAGTACCAAGATGTATAGGGATCTTAAGAAACACTATTGGTGGCACAACATGAAGCACGAAATTGCTCAGTTTGTTAGTAGATGTCTGACGTGTCAACAGGTGAAAACCTCAAGACAGAGACCCGCCGGGTTGTTGCAACCTCTAAGTATACCTGTGTGGAAATGGGATGATGTAGCCATGGACTTCATTACAGGGTTGCCGAGGACGGCTAAAGATTTCACAGTGATTTGGGTGATTGTGGATCGCTTAACAAAGTCTGCCATTTCATACCAGGCAAGGCCACTTATTCAGTAGAAAGTGTCACATCGGGACCCTCGTTTCACGTCAACTTTTTGGCGAAGTTTGCATAAAGCACTTGGGACGCAGCTCGATTTTAGTACGGCGTTCTATCCCCAGACCGATGGCCAGACTGAGCATCTGAATCAGATTTTAGAAGATATGTTGAGGACTTGCATATTGGACTTCGGTGGTTCTTGGGACAAACACCTGTTCTTAACAGAGTTTGCTTACAACAACAGTTACCAGGCGACCATTGCCATGGCCCCATATGAAGCTTTGTATGGGAGAAAGTGTAGGTCGCCGGTGCATTGGGACGAGGTCGGTGAGAGAGTCCTGTTGGGACCGAAGTTGGTACAGGAAACTAATGGCGCCATCCAAAGGATTAGGGCAAGAATGCAGACGGCTCAGAGCAGACAGAAGTGTTACGCTGATGTTAGGCGAAGGGCATTGGAGTTTGACGTCGGCGACCA